GGAGAGATGTGGTACTTAACGGCACTTTGCCAAGGTCTTACTGAAAGTAATGTAACCCTTAAAGTAATGTTAATACTACAGTTTTCTCTACGGGTGTTGGGCTGCAGACACTGCTCAGTGTTTTCTGTGCATTTCTGGTGACCGGTGTACAAATACTATACTGCAGCCTAGGCAGAGCAAAGGTTTTAGAATTTTCACTAATACTTGCTTGAATAACAAAATTTGTTATACTGCAAAAGAGTATACAAAACAAAATGCAAAGCATCCCAGTTTTCCTTTCCTAATCTGAAAATTTAGAGGCCTGCCTGTCAATTAGGGTCATGCAACTGCAAAGTAGCATAGTTCTGATATTTTGTCAGGTTTTGTATCAGAAAAAAAATTGAAAAGTAGTCAGCCATTACATGTGGGGCAGTTATTCAGTAGGATGCGTATCTGGTATATGATCTGAATCTGTTGTCTTTTATAAACTTCTGGCTTTATTATTTTATTGCAGGAAAAGGCTCTATTTCTGTATAGTAAATTAGAGATTTTGCGTCTGTTTTTTGACCAAGTTAGTACTGAATAGCAAAATATATATATTTTGAGTAATCTCTGAATGCTTGTTAATTCCACAATTGGCTAAGACTTGCTTTCTCTCAGCTGTATTTCTGTACTGGCATAACTTCTGTGAAGTTCTCTTGGAAGTTGTCTGTGTTTGAACACTGTGTTTGCAATCACAAATTCAAGCATAAAATGAGCCTGCTTCAAAAAGGCGTGCTTTAGGTTAATTTTCAACTAGATAACGAAACAATGCAATAGTGCATGGTTGTCAAATTCAGGTTGTATTTTATAGCAGGGAATCTAGGGTTATGAGAGATTAATAGAAATATTTTCAAATACTGCAGCCAAGTGATAACTTTAGGAAGCTAGACTTTGAGCCTAATGTGTGAATAGTATCATGTCATCATCTCATCAAATCTGAATTGCTAGCAATCTTTCTTCCTAATAAAGAACAAATATAAGACATTAACAGTTACACACAGTATAAGATTTTGTGGGTGACAAAGGTAATTTATTTGTAAAAGTCCACAACATAAAAAAAACTTAACTTTTAATGTTACAGTGGATTATATGCACTTTTAATGCATATCTTTGATCTAATTGTGACTAAAACTAGCTACCTTTACAGTGTGCTCATCTAGCTGTCATATAGCTAGTTTCCAGCTCTTAACTGCATAGACAGGAGAAAGATTAGTGACGTTTCAGGAATAACTGCAGGTGCAGCCAGGAACAAACTGTTGTCAGATGCAGAAAGCTTACCCTGGCATACCTCTCCATAATATATTGGTTGTTGGAAACCCAAACTGCTGAAATCCCAAGTGTTGTGATAATTACAAAGAGATGCAGTTTTTCTATCCTTGAAACTGAAGGAATGTAGGAAGTGTAAGCCCCCAAAGGCACGTGGTGTTTCTTAAAATAGCGTGCTGATTGCTCCTTAGATTTGGAGATTGTGTGCATGTGTAGCAGTCTCACCATACTCAGAGTTTTCTTTACAAGATGCACAGAGAAAGTGAAATATAATTGTTCCCTTATGTTCCCAGAGGGGGAAGTACTCGATTTCAAATCTTTTCTATGTGTTTGTGGTTGTATCTAATAAATCAGGAATTTTAATTGTTGTCTTTAATCTGTAGTTAAGTGTTGGGAACAGCATTTATTGAACAGTGATTTGAGTATTTTGCTCTTAAAAGAGCTTGAAGTTTTACAGCAATGTACTCTTTATGAGGGAGGTATTTTAATATAAACCAGATGAAGGCATGATTGTTTTAATAGCAATCTTTAAAGTCGCCATTATATTCTCATTGCTTTCTCTGAATGTGGAAATTTACTGGATATCTCATCTGCTAACCCATCTTTAAACTTGTTAAGTAATTGGATTCCCATGCTTATTTTTTGAGTAAGCAGTGTGTGAAAAAAATCACAGTCTTAGGTGGTTCATATAAACAGCTTGAGCATCGTATAAATAATGCTTAAAGCCAACAAATACTTAGCGTATATCTCAAACAATATAGTGTGCTTCCTATTAAAGAGCAGGACTTAAGGCTGTGTTTCAATTTTACTGGGTTTGCCTCTGTTGAGGTAGAAGAAGAATATTCTGTGATAATCCTCAAAATTCTACTGTGGATGGCTCTTGAAGGCACTCTGTTCCCTCTGTGGAAGGCATTGCATTCACCTGAGCTGGACGTTCTGTAGGAGTGTACACGAGAGTATTTTGAACCAGGCAGAATTTTTCTGAGTTTTACACAAATGTGTAGGTAAAATCAGACACACACTGTTTCATTCTAAGTGTGTAGATAATTTCTACTCTATTCCCTTCCTTCTAATCATACAGCCATGCGTGTATCATGTATCCTGATACTGCCTGACTAGAACACTGTCCAAAAATTGACCCTTCTTTAGATCCAGTGCCTTTCTGCTCTCTTGCTAAACTAATCCTGGACACAAGAATCCAGTATCATGCTCTTTGAATATTTTTTTTTCCCTTACTACACAGGGAAGAAAGGAAACATTTCCAAGCAGACTGTTGGGTGGTAGGGTTGGTTTGTTGTATCTGAATGTTTGGTATTTTTTCCTGGGGCTTTGTAGGCTAAGGAGGCTTTGTGAATAAACCTTACAAAAATACCTGACTGTGGAGATAGGAGGTAACTGCTGGTGGAATTTACTAGGGCCTGTTTGTGTAAAATCTGTTTTATTAGAAAAGTGAACCTAATAGGTGATTTAAGGAGAAAATACTGTCTCCACCCTGCAGGAATTTTAATTGTAATTTCAGATGCAAAACTAGTTCTCTTGACCTAAGTGAAGTGACTCACGTGCCTGAGGTTAAGCATGTTTATTTGCAGAATGTGGTTTTGGCATTAAGAAACAGATGCTTTTAATACAATAAGGAACAATATATGGAATAGGTTAAGTAGCGTTTCTGAGCTAGTTGAATCATATAGGCTTTATTTAATTTGTTTAATTGTAGAAATTATAGGACTTTATGTTATTAAGTAGAATGTCTTTTTGCATCTGCTATGAATTAAATCTAAGTGGAAAAATAATCCTGTTAATGATGCTTGGTATTTCAGGGTACTCACTATACAGATTTAAAATAGTAGCACTGAAGAAGAGTAGTTTGGCCTTGGAAGTCTCTTTCAGTTATCTCTGTAAGCACCATTAATACTGTACTTGAAGCCTGAATACGTGAGCATGCAATATTTTCTGGAAAGGAAAAAATCTGGAAGTAGCCTGGTATGTTTTGTTTCTTTTGGAGAAGTTAAGTTTTGGACATAGGTGCCGTAAATATAGTTTTTAAGGATGGCAAACTTTACCTGTTACTTGAGGCCAGAATTTTTTAATTTATTTTTTTTTAGAGGGACAAGTAACAGAAGGATGAATTCTAACATTTCAGCTACTTGATTTGCATCAGCATGTAGTAAAGTGGAAAAGTGGCTAACTGCTGAAACGTAAAACAAAAAAAAAGAATAGGGTGCTGATAGCCTGCCACTTGTCCAAATATTGACATGTGGTCAATAACAGAGAGTGTTAAGCTGGGTTTTGTTGGTGATTTTTTCTTTGGTGTTTTTTTCTTTGAGGCTTTTTTGGTAAGAAAAATCACTTGGGTATGCCCAAGTATGGAGGGTTTTTTTAAGCAGTAAGGATATAATGCATTAAGCACCCATCAAATTGCTTAGTTCTTAATTCCAATTCTTTTCTCCTCCTGTAATACCAATTTCTCTAAGGATTTTGGTTCTGGTGGTTGCCTTTTGCTTAAGGAAGTTACAGAACAGCATAGAGGAAGATGTCAGCTTACAAAGAGATCAGTTTAAAAATGGATCACAGCCCAAGGGGCTGCCTTGGTCAGTGAAGTATATATGGTTCAAAGGCTACAGATTGATCACCCCTAATTTAGAACTCATGGTGCTATCTTGCAATTAGGTAGCACAGATACATAAACCAAATCAAAATACCATTGAGGTTCACGCATACGTAGAGAGGTCCAAGCTGTGCTTTTTAAAAGGTAGAGCACATGCACAGTACTATTATCCTGTGGTAGTGTTAATTAAATTTTGTGCTTTAATTGTTAAGTATTTATATTACCATTTAGGAATTGTACCCGCGTTTAAAAATTACACCATGGCTGAGGTTGGAAGTGACCTCTGGAGGTCACCTTGCAATCCTCCTGCACAAGCTGGTTGCCCAGAACTATGGGAGTCCCAGGGATGGAGACTCCACAACTTCTTTTGGCAACTGAAAGTGAATTGACAGTTCACTTTATCGCTGGCACTTTAGGCATGAACTCAGCATAACAGAATAATGTATTTGTGGTATTTCCCCCTGAAAAATTTCAATGTTAAAACCTAAGTTCTTACTGCAAACAGAAGTCTGTCTTACCTCATATGGTATATTCAATAGTTTCTGTAAACAGACGTGTACATTTTTATTTTTTTTTCCTGTAAACAGAACAACAGGACATTCACATGAATGCTTCCAGTTTTTTGAACCTTCAGCATTTTTCAGCTCTACCATTGGGAGCTGTATTTAGTTCCTGTTGAACTAGCAAGCTCTAACAAGTTTATTTTCACTGTATTTATCTGATATCCTTTTGCACTTTTAAAGTTGTGATGTTAATATTTTGCACACATGGGAATATTGTTGCATATTCAGTATGTACGTTGGCAAACAGGTGATAAATTTACTGAATGGAAGACAATCTCCTTTCCTCTGTTTTGTATTACACTCCTGGTGGCTGGAAAACTCTTGTGCCGTAATTGTATCACAAAAGATTGCTAACAGCCTCTTCTCTTTTCACGTTTGTTGAGCGGCTCTTCCTGATTTACACTTTTTGGGATATTTTAGTCACTTGGAAACATGCAGTGTATTATGTAATGCAGTTTTTTTGGGGGGGACATGTTATTTTAATGTTAGTGTGATACATTTATTTTGAAATAATGCTGACTAGTTACTTTTTTTTAAAGCCTAAGTTGTACAGGTCTGTAATTGAAGATGTCATCAATGATGTCAGAGAAGTTTTTCTGGATGAAGGAGTTGATGAACAAGTTCTTATGGAACTCAAAACAGTAAGTTGCAACTCAAGCGTTTTTCAATAGACCAATACAGCAATTGGATTTCAGATCTGCTCACCGTTGTACACAATAAAAATACTATTTTTTTTAGTTAGTTAAGCATTGTATTAATTTGCATATTTGTAGCCCCATATCATATGAATTACACTGTTGTGTAGAGAGATCTGCTCGTCATGTTTACTTTCCCTAATTTGGCATGTCAAACTTGGCATAAACTAACAGCAGACATTCAAATTCACAGTTTTATTTCAGTCCCCAAAACACGATATCTTTAAAAAAAGGAGGGAAAATATGTTTATTTTAGAGGCAGACTATTCATAAGATTTATTTGCAGGAAAAATAAAATGACTGCTCTTCTTGATGTTTTTGGCTTTGAAGAAGAGGAGTTGCATTGTCGGATGCATTGTCAGATTTTTGCGTGTATGGTCTGTAGTTTGTGGAAGTATTGTTTTGGGGAGGGGTGGTCTCTAATAAATTGCACTGTGTGCATCACACGTTTCTGAAACTCTTGGATTCAGTGCTGTACATAGACTGGATTTGAACTGTTACCAGGATTCTGAAAGAAAGGCAGGATGTTGACCTGAGCTCTAATGGGTTGCCTATAGCTTTCTTCAAATTCTTCTTGAGTAAAAGTGGGGAGGGAAGGGAGAAAGAATAAATCAAGTAGAAGGAAGATGGAAAAGTAAATGCCTGCTTAGCTGTCATATAAGCTCTTCAGAAAATGGGTTGTCCCACACTCTTAGTATTTTTTAAGTATTAAAAAATGGATGAAGTGGGAAAGGAATTTTGAGTTTGGCTAGGTAGAAACAGGTAAAGACTTTTTTTCATTAAACCTTGACTTGGCTTGGAAACAGAGTAAGCGCTGTAAGGAAGGCACCTTGGTGTTTCTGTCACAGACATGTTCTGCAAATGATGTCAGAAAAGATTGAATGAGGTAAGAGAAAATAAGGAAAAAGAAGTATTGAAGAGGAAGGCTTAGAGACACGTAAGCAGAATTTGAAATCCAAGGTCCTGGCTGCCTGTGGTCTTTTTGACTTCTGTATTACAGAATACCTGCATTGCTCTGTTTTTGCAGGAGCTGCTCTTTTTGTGTCTCTGGCTTTTCCTGGGAGATATGTCAGCTGACAAAGAACTGAAGGGCTGGAAAAGCTGGATTTGATATTGTGGTAGAAGCTCTACAGAGGCATTATCTTAGGTATACTGGTAGTTTGAGTTGAAGTGTATTATGAGGCAGTAGTCTTCAGACAACTCTTATTAAGGAGTTCCCAGAAGAAATGTCTTGATGAAGTCAGATAAAGAATTTTTTTTTGTGAATAAAGAGGAAAGAAAGAAAGAAAGAAAGTAGAGAACTGAAAATTTGAAGGTTAATTTGAAGTCACCAGTCTGTCTCTAACCATGCTTCTGTTAGGGTTGTTAGGAATCTTCCATGCTCAGAAGCAAGAAAGAATGTTAAAGCTTAAGCTTGGATTGACAACTCTGAAGGGTTATTTAATTTCTCTTTTTAAAACATTACCTTTGTGGGGTTCTCTCCAGTCTTATTTGCCTAAGGGCATTTTGGCTAAGTACACAAGATAAACAGTGAAAATACATTTTGCTTTTGGCATACTATCTTTATATTTTTACAAATTTTGTTGGCTAAAAGTCATACCTAAAAATTTGTCTTTTCCATACTAGCTGTGGGAGAACAAGCTCATGCAGTCCAAGGCTGTAGATGGCTTCCATTCTGAAGAGCAGCAGCTTTTGTTGCAGGTGCAACAACAGCAACAGCAGCAGCAGCAACAGCAGCATCATCACCACCACCATCACACACAACCTCAGCCACAGCAGGCTGTGCAGCAGCAGTCTCAACCACAGCAAGTCCTTATTCCAGCATCTCAGCAAGGTCAGATTTACTCTCTAATCTCTCTGGGAAAAGACTCTCAAGTTACACTAACTCTTTAGCATACTCTAAATCTAGGACAGAATGTGTGTCTGCTGGATAGCTTTGTGTTAAACTTTGTCTCTTCATTGAGTCTTGTTTAATGGGTTGAGACAAAAAGTTTCCTGGAGAAAAATCCTTTGGTATTTGTGTTAGTCATATTCTTCACAAGATTTTGGAAAAACTGAATTCTCCTCTTGGTGTTCTACTACATAGCTTATGTTTTCAGAATACACTACTTGCAGTTTTGTCAAAAATCCATTAGCAGCTCTGTAATTTCAAGCCAGCATACATACGCAGTTGGCAATTTAGTCATAAGGGAGTAATATCATTAGGAGCAAATTAATTTAAAAATATATATTATTGTTTAGCATAAGTGGATGCTAGGATGTAAAAAATACTTGTATAACAGTCTTGGTGAATGTAGGAGATAATGTTAGAACAAGTTTTGAGTGAAAAGTGTAATGGCTGGGTATTTTTGCGGTCTTAAAGGATTGCACACTGTGTAGGTGTGGATGTTCAAGGTATGTTGTACTTAGCTGTAACTTGTTTCTTGTAATCATAGTCTTGTGTATTCTTCATTAATAATTTAAGGGAAACATTTTCAGCAATTACATTTTAATTTGAAAACTAAGATAAATACTGCTGGATGAAAGTGTAAAAAAGTCTGCCACCTGTGAAATGCTTGAGTTGCATTTTCAGTGTGTTATTAAAATTGTGGCATAAAATATTTATCTGTGGTAGTCAATCACAGACTTCAGACATTTTATAAGATTTAATGGATCAGAATCTGTGTTGTCATAGGTACAAAAGATACAATGAGCTGATTTCCCCCTCCATCTCCCCCAAAAACCCACCCCAGTATATCTTCCTAAGAGAAGAGAGCTATTGTGACAAAAACATGTTGGGTTTTTTTGTTTTTGTGGTTCTGTTTTGGTTTTTTTCTTCTTAAAGTACTTTGTATTTTGGCTGGACATAAATCAGTTGTGACTATTGGGATAAAATAATTTTTGAGATCAAGACCCCTAAATACGTGTGGCTTCAAATGATTCCAGTGTCCCAGCTTAAGTTATAGTCAGCAGAAGCTGGAAAGTCTACTCACCAAGACCTCTAGTGGTTCCTTAGCTGAAGAGCTGTGACTCTACAGACCGATTTTCCTTACACTAATATGGGGGTCTCTGTTCTGCCGTTTGTGTCTTCGGGTCGAATGAGATCCTGCTTATAGTAATGCACTTAAAATTGATTTATTGTTGCCCAGTGTTTTAGCTTATGACCAAATGACAGTGTGGAAGCTAAGTCAAATTAGGATATCAAAGCTCTTCAATCACAGACATGCAGTTTTATGAATTTACTTGCCTTCCCGGTTCCATGGGGAAGGTGGTGTAGTAGTTCCTTTCATGACCTGGTGCAGTCTCAGAGAGAGAGAGAGAGAGAGATCAGGACAATTGGCATGGTAATTTCTGCTGTCCCGTATGTGGTCCTGGCACAGGGTCATGAGATTTCCTTGGGTTCTTTTGCTCTGCTTGTGTTTCCTGAAAGTTGGAGGGATGGCGTTGGATCTTGGTACAAGGTTGTGGGGCTTCCCACCTCTGAATTTTTTCCAGAACTCTCAGTTATACCTAGTATTCTTAAGTGTCCTTGGTTACAGGATTGAATGGAGAATGCCTTGTCGATGATTTCATGAGCTTATTGTAGTAGCTATGCTAACTAGACCTAACTCAAGCTAGCTGCTGCATCCTGTTAACATACTCTTTATCATGTAACAATCCTTGCTGAAGTCTGGTCAGTTAATGGTGACAGATAAATGTTGCCATCTACAAAAAGTTTTCACCTCCAGTGTTCCCCCAGATTACCTTCTCTGTTTCTCTTCCAAATCTATCAGTCCACTGATAGCAACATGCCTTGGTCTTTGTTTCCAACATTAGACCAAATGTATAACTTATAGAATCATAGAATCATAGAATCATAGAATCTTAGGGGCTGGAAGGGACCTCGAGAGATCATCTAGTCCAACCCCCCTGCCAGAGCAGGGTCACCTAGAGTACATCACACAGGAACTCATCCAGGTGGGTTTTGAATGTCTCCAGTGAGGGAGACTCCACAACCTCCCTGGGCAGTCTGTTCCAGTGCTCTGTCACTCTTACAGTAAAAAAATTTTTTCGGATATTCACCTTGAACCTCCTATGCTCCAATTTACACCCATTACCCCTTGTCCTATCACTGGTCATCACTGAGAAAAGCCTAACTCCGTCCCCCTGACACTCACCCCTTACATATTTGTAAACATTGATGAGGTCACCCCTCAGTCTCCTTTTCTCCAAGCTAAAGAGACCCAGCTCCCTCAGCCTTTCCTCATAAGGGAGATGTTCCACTCCCCTAATCATCTTCGTAGCTCTGCGCTGGACTCTTTCGAGCAGTTCCCTGTCCTTTTTGAACTGAGGGGCCCAGAACTGGACACAATACTCCAGATGTGGCCTCACCAATGCAGAATAGAGGGGGAGGAGAACCTCTCTTGACCTACTAACCACACCCTTTCTAATGCACCCCAGGATGCCATTGGCCTTCTTGGCCACAAGGGCACATTGCTGGCTCATGGTCATCCTCCTGTCTACCAGGACCCCCAGGTCTCTTTCACCTACACTACTCTCCAGCAGTTCAGCCCCCAACCTGTACTGGGACATGGTGTTGTTCTTCCCCAAATGTAAAACTCTGCACTTCCCCTTGTTGAATTTCATCATGTTTCTCCCCGCCCAACTCTCCAACCTATCTAAGTCTCTCTGAATGGCAGCACAGCCTTCTGGTGTGTCAGCCACTCCTCCCAGCTTAGTGTCATCAGCAAACTTGCTGAGGGTACATTCTATACCCTCATCCAGGTCGTTGATGAAGATGTTGAACAACACCGGTCCCAGTACCGACCCCTGTGGGACTCCACTAGTCACACACCTCCAACCAGATTCTGCCCCATTGACTACAACTCTCTGACTCCTTCCTTTCAACCAGTTCCTAATCCACCTCACTTCCTGATCACCAAACCCATACCTGATCAACTTTTCTACAAGGATGCTGTGGGAGACGGTGTCAAATGCTTTACTGAAATCAAGATAAACCACATCTACCGCTCTACCATCATCTATCCACCTAGTAATTTCCTCATAGAAGGCTATGAGGTTAGTCAAACATGATTTACCCTTGATAAAACCATGCTGACTGCTCTTGATGACCCCCATGTCCTTGATGTGCCTGGAGATAGTGACAAGAACAAGTTGTTCCATCACCTTTCCAGGGATGGAGGTGAGGCTGACCGGTCTATAGTTACCCGGGTCCTCCTTCTTGCCCTTCTTGTAGACTGGAGTGACATTTGCTATCCTCCAGTCCTCAGGCACCTCACCTGTTGCCCATGATTTACTGAAGATGATGGAGAGTGGCCTAGCAATGACCTCCGCCAGCTCCCTCAGCACCCTTGGGTGCATTCCATCTGGACCCATTGATTTATGGATGTCCAGATTACTCAACTGATCCCTAACCCAATCTTCATCTACCATGTCAAACTCTTCCTCTATCTTGACCTCTTCTGGGGCTATATGAATCTGGGGCTCATAGGGAGACCCTGCAGGAGTGAAGACAGAGGCAAAGAAGGCATTCAGCACCTCTGCCTTCTTTATATCCTCTGTCACCAGGGCTCCCACCTCATTCCTCAATGGGCCAATATTGCCTCTATTGCTAGTTTTGCTAGCTATGTACTTGAAAAAGCCCTTTCTATTATCCTTAACCTGACTTGCAAGGTTAAGTTCCAAGGAGGCCTTAGCTTTCCTAATTGCCTCCCTACATCCTCTGACAACAGTCCTATATTCCTCCCAAGTGACCAGCCCCTCCTTCCATGATCTATAGATTTTCCTTTTCCACTTAAGTTTGCCCAGTAGTTCCTTCTTTAACCATGCAGGTCTCCTAGCACCCTTACTAGATTTCCTAACCATTGGGACACTCTGATCCTGTGCTTGCAAGAAGTGGTCCTTGAATGTTGACCAGCTATCTTGAGCTCCTTTATTTTCTAGCACCCTGTCCCATGGGATTTCCCTTAATAGATGATTGAGGAGACCAAAGTTTGCCCTGTGGAAGTCCAGGGTTCTGGTCCTGCTGGGTATTTTGTTCCTTCCACACAGGATCCTGAACTCCACCATCTCATGATCACTGCAGCCAAGGCTGCCATTGACCACCACTGCTTCAACAAGGCCCTCCTTGCTGGTTAGTACAAGATCCAGCAGCGCTCCTCTTCTAGTCGGCTTGTCCACCATTTGCATTAAGAAGTTATCATCAATGCATTGGAGGAACCTCCTAGACTGTGAAAGGCTGGCTGTGTGAGTCTTCCAGCAGATATCAGGGTAGTTGAAATCTCCCATGAGGACCAGCGACTGTAGTTGTGAGGCTGCTTTCAGTTGCTTGTAGAAAGCCTCATCAACCTCCTCACCTTGATCAGGAGGTCTGTAGTAGACCCCCACAACTGTGTCACCCGCACCTGCTTGCCCCTTAATTCTTACCCACAGAATTTCAACATGCCCCTCATCAGCCCCTGCATGAAACTCAATACATTCTAGTTGCTCTCTCACATAAAGAGCAACCCCACCACCTCGCTTCCCTGCCCTATCTTTCCTAAAAAGCACATAACCATCCATGGCCACATTCCAGTCATGTGAGCTGTCCCACCATGTCTCTGTTATTGCTACTAGATCATAACCCTTAGCCCGCACACAAACCTCTAACTCCTCTTGCTTGTTCCCCATGCTGCGTGCATTAGCATACAGGCATTTCAGGAAACGAACAGAGCACACTGGTGGGACTAAATCCTCCTTGGACGACCTGACTTTGGGCCATGGTGTGTTCCTCTTGTGCTTGTCCCTAACAGGCCTGGTTTTCTCCCCTTCCCCCTTCACATCTAGTTTAAAGCTCTATCAATGAGCCCTGCCAAGTCCTGCCCCAAAAGCCTCTTCCCCCTCTGGGACAGGTGCATCCCTCCTGCCACCATCAGTCCAGGTGCCTCATATAGCATCCCATGATCAAAAAAACCAAAACCCTGGCTATGGCACCAATCTCTTAACCATTCGTTGACCTGCAAACTCTTCCTATATACCTCCCTACCCATTCTTGCAGGAGGGATGGAGGCAAACACTACTTGCGCTCCAGACCCCCTAACTAGCTGTCCCAGGGCCCTGAAGTCTCTCTTCATTGCCCTTACATTTCTTGTAATAATTTCATCACTGCCAACCTGAAAAATCAGCAGCGGGTAGTAATCGGAAGAATTCACAAGATTGGGGAGTTTCCTTTTAACATCCCTAATCCGAGCCCCAGGGAGGCAACAGACCTCCCTGTGAGATGGGTCCGGCCGACAAATGGGCCCTTCTGTCCCCCTCAGAAGGGAGTCACCCACCACAATTACTCTCCTTTCCTTCTTGATTGAAGAAGTCCTAAGGACTCGAGGTGACTGACGAGTCCTAGGCACTTCACTAGGTAAGTTTACCCCTCCAACTTCATTTTCCTGTTCCTGAATTTCCAATGCCTCGTATCTATTCTTCAAGGGCAACTGAGAGGGTGGAAGGGGTTGGGAGGATTTTTTCTTGCCTCTTCGAGGTCGAACCTCCTTCCATTCCTTAATATCTCTTGAGTCCTCTCCATCTGTCTGGTGACAGGAGGGGAAAGGATCCGTCACTTGCCCAACGTCTTCTATCTGCCCCTGCCTCAGGGTTTGACTCCACCAATCTATTTCACTTTCATATTCTCTAATGGCCCTCAGTCTTGCAACCTCCTCTGTCAGCTCAACCACCTGCCTGAGGAGATCATTTACTTGCTCACACCGCACACATGCGCTGTCACTGGTTCCCTCTGATACCAGTGCCAGACTCAGGCATTCACTGCAGCCAGAGACCTGCACTGCTGTGCGCCTGCTTGGGAGCTCCGTCTGAGTCCCCACATTCTTTTTCACAGTGGTTTTTGGCCGTGTTGTGACCATGATCAATCTAGTTACTAGTCTGCTTTTCCTAGGATAAGAAGGCACCAGCTGCTCCCTGCCTGCCCTCGCGCAGCTCTCTGCCTCTCCGCCTGCCCTCGCGCCTGCCACGCGTCTCCCCTCCGGAGGCCGCTGCCGCTCTCTCTTCTGCGCTGCCGCGTGCTCAGATGAGGCTGCCAAATGGCCGCTTTTTAACCCTTGCCGCCGTTCACAGCCACACCCCCTGCCACGTCAGCCTTCCTCTCCCTCGCAGGCTTCCCGCTCAGACTCGGGTCTCCTGGCTCTGCCTCGGCTTCACCGTCTCTGGGAAGCCCGGCTCCCTCTCAAATCCTCAGTAAATTTAAAGGAACAGCTCTCACCGCTGCCAGTGCTGCTGCCGCTCTCTCTTCTGCGCTGCCGCGTGCGTTACCCTTTTATTGCAGTTTTTATCTCTAAAGATTAGTTTTGGTTATCTAATCTTGCTTTAAACACTCTGGCTTAGTAAAAAAAATTGCTTGCAAAGCAGTGAAAACAACAGCTAATGCAAGTTAAATATGTGCATTAGACAAGAATTCATTACATTTTTAGCACTTTTATGGTAAAGGCACATGAAACAAAGCTTCATGGTTGAGCAAAACTGCAGCAGCTTGCTTAGCCTTCACTTCTTTGTTACCTGCTGACCTTATTATAGAAAAGAACCTGAACTTCTTGACTCAAATAGCATGATATAGCCAGAGACTGAAAGCACGTAAGTATCTACCTATTTTTAGAAGTTTTACAGTCACTTCAATGTGATTTGTAACTTCCCAAGTCCGATAGTTAAGCACTTTTTTTCTCTCATTCGGCTCTATCTTGTTGGTGAGTGTTAAAAAAATCAGTGTTGCAAGAATGAGCATATACCACAGACTACTGTTCAGTAGAAAGTTAAATAATTGATTTGGAATAACTGTGTTTTATAAGAAACATTTAAGGTGGTATTAAAGAATGGATCTGACCTTGAATTTCTTGGAAGACAGAGAGTAATGGTAGTTTATTCATCTGCCTTTGAGACATGAGGATGCAGACAAGCACTTTTCATTTTTTCTTGGTGATCTCTAATTTTGGCAGTTGTATCTACTGTATTGACCTCCCAACACAGGGAGATCATACTTCTTATAAACAGGAAGTATTCACTCTACCCAGTAATAAACTACAACTACCGGAAAGGAAGCCGTAGGGAGGTGGGAGTTGGCCTCTTCTCTCAAGTGAATAGAGGCAATATGAGAGGAAATGGCCTAAAGTTGCATCAGGGGAGGTTTAGACTGGATATCAGAAATAATTTATTTACCAAAAGAGTGCTTGGACACTGGAACAGGCTGCCCAGGAAGGTGGAGTCAGCATCCCTGGAAGTGTTTAAAAGAATTACAGATGTGAAAACAAGACAGATGAACACAATCATTGCTTCAGTACCTTAGGTTTCTTCAGATTTGTAGGCCCGTATCTTTAGCTGTTTTGAAAACGTGTGAGTAAAATTGCCACATGAGCAATGCAGTGTTATACTCTGCTAATAGATCCAGCAAAGTGGGCAGAGGAGAAAAAAAACCTTCAGAGCTTACAGATAAACCAAGAAATGACATGGAGCTGGGTTAAGGTGTGATGCTGATTGTTGCTTCTGCCTTCTTATTAAGGAAGAAGGAAAATATTTTTTGTATGTAGTATAATGTGCAGTTGATTAATGCTTGCGTTTCAATAGTTGCAGAAACTTGTGTGCAAATTTTGTAAACAGCAATAAAAAGGTACATATTTTCAGGCGGTATGTTTTGAGATGAAAAGCTGGCAATAATGTCCATGGTTAAAAATCTTCCCTTGTATTTCAGAGTGCTGCAGCCACTGCAGCTACATTGGCTCTCCCTGCGGGCGTTACTCCTGTTCAGCAGATACTTACAAATTCAGGTAACTGTCTTAATGTTGAGATCAAACAATGGTTCTGAGAATGCTTGGGAGCAAGGAATTCTGGGGTTTACTCCCTGCTATATATTGCTAAAAAGCAGAACCTGGGAATCCACCCTTACAAGGTAGTTCAGTCTCTTCACTAGATGCCTGGACTCTTGTTCACTGCCTTGTGTTAGATTCTATGCAAGCTTTCCCCACTTTTTCAAAAAAGGGCATGAAGCAAGAAGACAAGTGTTACTGTCTGTCCCCTTTGCATATTTCTGAGCTTTGTAATGCATGACCTGAGTGCAGATACTAGACCGGTTACAAAAGAGTAGGATCACTTCACCTGTGACTTCAGATGAGGAATGTCTTAAGGTTTCTTGTACCTGCTAAGCACACACAGTGGAATTTATAATTTTGCTGGCAATGCTGATTTTTACTTTAGGTGTTTTAAAGTACTGTCATGTTGTACTTTTAGACTGTAATTTAATTTTACTTTATGAACAGCATATCTGATACTTTGTATTTTTTATAAGATCAGTTCTGTATGGAGAGGAAGGGAAGATCTGACAAACCTAATTTTCTAGAATTTGTTGCTGCTTTTGTCAGAGAAACTCATCTAGTCTGCTCAGAATCACCTGGGACTTAACCTTTCTGCTTTAGACATTTGAATGTTTAATGGCTATGTTGTTGAACAAAAATATGTAGCAGTTCTAGTAATTCACATCTTTCCAATTTATAAGGAAACACATCTGTGTTTGTCACAGCATAGAATAATTTGCTGCTTAAATTTGTTACTTCTGTCATGGTAATTTTTTTTCTTCAGTTACAAGTATTAAGAGTATGTTTTCTTAAACAAGGGGCTAGGGAAGTCCCTTCTTTCAAATATACTTAGTTATTTCAGTAAAAAGGGCTCTGCATTTTTCTGTGGAGGGAGAACAGGAAGTAAAATCAGTCTTTGAGGGATATGTATGAAGTTCAGGATTATCTAATTTAATTTCTTCTCCATCTTTCTGATTACAAATGTGAAAAACTAATGTGGAAATATTTTTTAGCTCTTGCTTTTGAGAATTGGAGACCATCTTCAAAGGTGTGTGAGTCTTAGATGTATTTTGTGAAGCAAGGAAAGGTGTAAGATGATAAAACTATAAGATAATAAAAGAAGATTGAGTACAGACATGGGAACAGAAAGGAGAATGTTGCTGTTTAACCTCAGCTGCCAACTAAGCCCCACATTTTCTCGCTCACAACCCCTTGGTGGGATGCAGGAAGAGAATCAGAAGGGTAAAAGTGAGAAAACTCGTGAGTTGAGATAAAGATAGGTAAAGTAAAAGCTGCACATGCAAGTAAAGCAAACCAGGAATTAATTCACTACTTTCACTGTCAGGCAGGTGTTCAGCCATCTCCAGAAAAGCAGGGCTCCATCATGCATAACTAAAACTTGCTTGTGTTATCAACACTGTTTTCAGTGTTGATATTCAGATGAATACAAAACACAAACCCATCCTAGCTACTATGAAGAAAATTAACCCTTATTCCATACCCTTTATGTCATGTTCAGGTCCCACACCTCATTAGCCACCACCTCCTTTCCCATCCTTTGATATAACACACAGATATCTTTAATTTAATTTATGGAGCACCCTTGATAAATGTTCAGAAATGTCTACATAATGTCTAATGAATGCATTTAGTCCATGACTTTGAACTCCATCTCTTATGGTGGTCATTCAGGACAGGGTGGTATGTTGGTCTGGTTTCTGTGACCAAAACCAGCTCAGGTCTTGTCACTGCTGTAGTTGCACTGCTTTTTGTAGTTCTTGTCCTCTCTTGGTTCAGGTGGTTCCTGCTGTAGTAATCCTCATAACATGCAACTCAAATTCCAAGTTCCAACAGTTATTTCCATTGCAATCTTCATCCCTGGTGCCTTTGGACCAGACCATCAGGTTTAACATGGCAATGAACTCATCCCCTTGCCCGTGCTCCTGCTCAGACGTATCCACAGACTGCATTCTGTTAGGGATATACCTGCTCCAAGTGGAGCCTTCGCTGTGAGCCACAGTCTCTCCAGGGTTAAACCTCATGTGGCATAGTTTTGCACACAGCCTCAGTTGTTTTGGGGTGCACCTGTTCCAGCGTGGCCTCCATGGACCACAATGCTTTCAGAGATACACTTGCTCCAGTGTGGCTTTACCCCACAGCCTCAGTCGCTTCGGAAGTAAACCTGCTTCAGCATGGCTGTACTCATGGCTGCAGTCCCTCCAAGGCTGTACCTGCTCTGTCATATGCTTATCCATGGCCACATGCTTTGAGATGCTCCAGCATGAGCTCATGAACAGTCACTGGTGCTTCAAGGTGTACCTGCTGCAACATGGACTTATACTTTGAGATGTACCTTCTCCAGCATGAATTTCTTCTTGGGCTCCAAAGCCTACAGATTTATACCTGCTGTGCCACAGATATAACCACAGATGCTTTGAGTTATACCTTCTTTGGCATGGGCTTATCCACAGCCAGAGCTCATACTGGAATTCCAGCCTGTCCAGTACACAGAAACAGCAGTGATGCCCTTGCCATCTGCCAGCCCAGGCACATCACCACTGCTGTTATCAAAATGTTTGCAGGCACAGCAGAGTAAGATGATAGTACAGCAAGCAGTGAAAGCAAAAAGCAGCCAGTAACAGGCACTATAATATATGGTAAGGCAGGCAAGTGCAATTCAAGTGTAGGAGCCTGCCAATTAATAGCTAGACAGCAGTAACAGATATAAATTCTGTCTAGTACATTCTAATAAAATCTCTTGTTATCTCAAACCCTTTGAGTCCCACATTGAGCACCAAAAAGTACTGTTGTGGTTTAACCCCAGCCAGCAACTAAGCACCACACAGCTGTTGACTCACTCTCCCTTGGTGGGATGGAGGAGAGAATCGGAAGGGTAAAAGTGAAAAAAACTAATGGGTTGAGATAAAGACAGTTTAATAGGTAAAGCAAAAGCCATGTACACACACAAAGCAAAGAATGAATTCATTAGTTCCCCTTGGCAGGTAGGTGTTCATCCCCAGGATGCAGGGCGCCATTGCACCTAACTGTTACCTGTGAAGACCATCACTTCACATAGAAACATAGATGGTTTGGGTTGGAAGGGACCTTAAATATCATGTCCCCCTCTTCTTCCTTCTCCCAGGTTTATATACTGAGTATTATGTTCTATGTCCCAGCTGTGTGCTCTCCCAACTCCACGTGCACCTCCAGTCTACTTGCTGGTGTGCAGCAAGTGGGAGGAGCCAGGAAGGCCTTGACTGTGTGTAACACTGGTCAGCAATAGCTATAGTACCTGTGTGTTACCAACACTGTTTTCAAATCCAAAATGTAGCCCCATATTAGCTACTATGAATAAAATTAGCTGCTGCAGCCAAAACCAGCACAGAGTGGTAGGTAATTAGTGTAAGGATAGATTTTTCAAAATGCAACTGCATAATATTGCAAAGAAATTTACGCACAGCAGAACTTATTTGAAGGGGGAAGAATCTGAGGAAAGGACATCATCTGACAGGATCCTGAAATACCACATTGTTAGCAGGGGATAGAATTTTTGTGGTGTGAATACCTGTATTCTTATTTTAGTATGTGTTAATTTGTCTATCTGTAATATCTGTCGTTTGAAACATGAGATATGTTCATAAATGAGGGCTTGTATTTAAAATACTGTGCTGCATTAAAGGATTATACTGCAGCTTGCATATGTAAAATTATTTTTGGATTGCATACCTCACCACTGTATTCAGATGATAAACATCCCTATCAGTTCTTGGTTTCTGACACTGCTGCTATAGCATATCTTTATACTGGTGAAGGTGAAACTTAAATGCTCTTCTTTAATTGTCATTGGTGTTACTCCAGGAAACAAGCTACTAAATTAAGATAATTTTACTAATTAATTTCTACATTTGATGTATTTGATATTTATTCTGTTACAGGCCAGATCCTTCAAGTAGTTAGAACTGCAAATGGAGCTCAGTACATCATTCAGCCACAGCAACCAGTTGTTCTACAGCAGCAGGTCATACCACAAATGCAGCCTGGTGGAGTACAAGCACCTGTTATACAGCAGGTAAAGAAAATTTTGTATAGGTACATGTGAAAGAAAAAACATTATAGTAATTACTATAGAGGCTTGCGTTTTTGTGAGCAATTTGAAACGGAACACAAAGTCAGAAAGGATAGACTTAAAAAAAAAAAAAGATAATTGTGTCAAGTAGTGTGTTTTTTAAAAAGGATTAATTTTGAAATTTCCTTTTCTGTGTCACTTATTCTCACCAGATTCTGACTGGTTGTGGTTTAAAATTTTTTTTGCATATCTTTTGATGACAATTATATGCATAATTCTAGTCCACATCCTTTAAAAATGTGTTTATCAGTTAAAATTAGTCTGTGTCACATGACATGTAGAAGAAAATGCCTAAACCACACACTCCCCTTGGGTATTTTAGTTGTGAATGCAGTATGTATTACAAAGATTTTTGTTCAGCTACAAGATGTCTGTGCTTCCAGATTGTGGAGGCATTGAATTTAGCATCGTGTCTCAGTTATGTAGAGTAAGTATGGATTACAATTTATAGAGAGTTTCAAATTAATGTTTTATAGAAAGGCCCCTTTCAACCCCTAACATTCAGTGATTCTGTGAACCTAAACATTCCTCTGCTGTGCTTGGAATTTGTGTGATCATAATGCTAGCATTTTGGAATGGAAAGACAGGTTTTCTTAGCTTTAATAATGCAAAATGTAGATGATTAACACCAAATAGTGAAAGAAGGTATTTAATTGAAAATTAAATTATGTATCTGTTATAGGTGGAATATTTGTAACTGTTGTTTCTCTGATTAGTATAAGTTATATTGATATGCTTCAATTGTTTGCTGTAAGTTATGGTAGTCTGTTAAAACAGTAGCCACAATACTTGCAATTATATTCCATCAGGTTTTGGCTCCTATCCCTGGAGGGATTTCCCAGCAGACAGGAGTGATTATTCAGCCTCAGCAGATCCTGTTTACAGGAAATAAAACACAAGTCATACCTACAACAGTGGCTGCCCCTACACCAGCTCAAGCACAGATTCCTGCAGCTGGTCAGCAGCAACCACAACAACAACAGGCACAACCACAAGCACCACTTGTTCTCCAAGTTGATGGAGCAGGGGACACGTCGTCCGAAGAAGAAGAAGATGAGGAGGAAGACTATGATGATGATGAAGAGGAAGACAAAGAAAAAGATGGAGGTGAAGATGGCCAAGTTGAAGAGGTAATTAACATTGTTTCAGAAGACTGGAGCATGCTTGTGTTTATTTTGTTTTTGCAATATTTGAAAGAAAAACTGTATGCATTCAATTATATTCCCATCATTTCGAGTATATAACTTTTATCCTTGTATTTCAAGTTCTTTATTTCCCATATTGAAGTTGTGGAAACTGTGTCTTAACAAAGCACCTTGAAATGCAGCTGGAGAGGGTGAGGAAGACAGCAAAAACTGTTAATTGTCATGAATGCTCTGAAGTTTCTAAAAACTTCAATAGTAACATTTCTGATGTTGTGTAGAGGTTGGCCGTGAAATTATGAAACCTTCATAAGCAAACAAATAGTCAGCTCCACTTGGGACTGCATGCACACAACAGCAAGGTGTTGGGAAGATTGACTAGAGGGAGAGTATATGTTTAGTTCACTGAGGGGACTAACAGATGTGGCCTGACCTGGTATCTCACTGACTACCCTTGCTTTCTATTACACTAGAACAAGCTTGAAAAGTCAAACTTTATTATAAAGCATCTTCTAGAAACAGATTTGGCCTTGATTTAATGAAAACAGGAGATAGGAGCAGGAGTGAACATTCTTCCTAACTTGTTGCATTCTTAACAATATATGCTAAATCTAGAATTTAAATTTGCTCTGTTTCAGACTTCAGCCAGTGGTTCTTACTAAGTTTTGGTGTGTTGCAGCAAAAAGCCCCACAAGAATAAGACATTTAAAAAAAATAGGTGGGAGGGATAATAAAAAGCTAAGCACACTGTTATTTCAGTCTCTGACAGAAAACTTGGTACTCCCTCAGTCTTTTCCTAAAATGTATTTTGAACTGTCAGAACATTTCTGAACTTCCATAGTTCTCTGCAGCCTTTTCTGTTTTTTTAACATTCCATTTAAAATGCCAATATGAGGACCTATATATGAAGCATTTCGTGGTCTGTACTGCCCATTCAGTATATGCAGATAAAACCTATTTTTTAACAATGGGCCAAATCAGATTTTCTGTAGTACATTTCCAGTGGTGTTTAACAGTCTTTTTCTGTTAAAACGTACAGGTTGAGTTCACATTGTTTTTCCATTATGTTGACAAAAATTGATGTCAGTTTAAATGTTTCAGTAGTTGCCTTATTAAGTATAAGTCATCATGGTTAAATATGAAGTGTTCTTTAGTGGTGTCTTAAAGCTAGCATTTTTGTGGAAAATCTTTTATATGCCAAGACTTTATTGTCAGCATGCCAGAGATCTGTTATTTTTGCTATCTTTGTTCATCATCAGTTACTTAACGAGTGAACCAGTTCCTCAAAAGCTTTTGAAGTCACTTAAATATAGCGTGACTTTGGAGGGAATTAGGATCTCTAGTACACCTTTCTCCTCCCTCACTAACATCTCCCCCGTTTATCTTATATATTTGAGAGTAGATGGAAAGATGAGCATTATACAGAAGACTGAACAAAAGCAGTTTTGCATTTTTGAAGGTTGTTTTAGCTTTTGAAATGTTTGTTATTTACATGAGGTGAAACCCCCCTAAACTTGTGCTGGAACAGAATGTCAGCAGAAAGAGAAAAAAAATGAAAGTAATTTTTAAGGGACAGGAAAATACATTCTAGAAGGTCTGGAGAAGTTATTTTATGTGTATCTGTTGTCTTTCTTTCTCCTGTAAAAACTGTCTACATGTGTTGAGGTCTAGTACTGTTTGTGGCACATCAAACATGAATAAGTCAGAAGTTTTTGTTCTTAATGGTACACAGGGAGTGATGTGACTAATGTTGCCTTTCCACTGTGTAGATGCTATAGAAAAATGTAAATTTGCATAATGATAATTTTTTTGTAAAGACGATGTGCAAGCACTGTAACATTTAAAGTAGCAACAGTCATGATGACAAAAGGCTGCAGTGCTCAGAATCTGGCCTGGACACTGAAGTTCCAGATTAAAATTGGTAAGAACGGACAGGAAGGAAGTGTACATACATCGTCAGCCCTCTGTTGAAAAGTTTAATATTCTCCACCTCAAATGCATGTTATGTCCTGTAGTTCATAGGTAAGACTGTAGCCTCATGTGAGTAATCAAAGTAATGGGTTTGATCTTACTAAGCAGAATGACTTTTTGCATGTGTTTCTTTCAGGAGCCTCTTAACAGTGAAGATGATGTGAGTGATGAAGAAGGACAAGAGTTGTTTGATACGGAAAATGTTGTTGTGTGCCAGTATGATAAGGTAATTGAACAGAATTGAACAGAATCCAGTAATTCTATTTTCTCTGTCCTTTTTCCTATCAGGTAATAATCTTTAAGTCATACCTTTATCATTGCTAAGTACAATTAGATCTGTAAGGGTTATAATTTGAAGCAGAAAAAAGCTGTAAGGTTGTTGAATAAGAACTATGTTGAGAAGAATGGCTTGGTTAGAAGATCTTCAGTTATGCACAGACTCTGCTTAGACTTGTCATCAGATTCAGCAGCAAATTTAAGACAGAGGCAGGTGGTGTCACTATCTGCATCCCAGCCATCTGTCTCCTCCGGACTGTAATCCAAAACCCTTAGCTTCAAGGCAGTTCATGAGGATAGTGAGGGACCTCAGAATAGCAGTCAGAAAAGCTTGTTAGTTGTGCTAAAGCTGAGTGTCACCATTTGACTCAGGTCCGACAACAGTGCTCTCGATCCCCTCCCCCTCCCACCCAGGTAGGGAAGGAGAGAGAGAAAAAGAGAGAGACTTGGCTGGATTGAAAACTAAACTACACAGCTTTAATTAAACACTAATGAATGATATAAGAAAATATATACAATTATATGCAAAGATGTTCAGGTATGGGCAAAAGCCTCTCTCCCCCTGCCACCCCCAGCAACTCCCACAGCACTCCCCTGAGATTAAGACAGTCCCGAGGAATCCTGGAGATGCTGCTGGAGAAAGCGCAGAGTGATGAGCGTCAGGAGAGCTCGGGCCTAAGGGTCGACGGTGATGGATGGACGGAGTCCTCCCTGGACACCGGCCATGGACGGAAGAGAAGGGGAGAAGAAGCAGGAAGGAAGTTGTCTTCTGTGATCTCTGACCTTCCTCTGAGCTTACATAGATATATGGAATGGGATATTTCTGGCCAATTTTGCTGTCTGTCTAACAGCCTCCTATGGGGGGGGTCACAGATCTCCCCGTAGTGTCTGAGCTGGCAGAGTGAAGGTGCAACCTTGAAGACCCAGCAGTTACAAAAACATTCCAGTGTCTTATCAGCCTAGCAGAACACACAGTTGCTAGTTAAAGCTTACTGAAGGAAAAAAAAAACGGTAACAGGAAAATTGGCTTAATCCTGGCTCAGACTAGGACGCTGAGCAACAGGAACTACTCTGAACTCCTCCCCCTCTTAAAAGTTAAAAATGTGAACTCAGGGGAGAGCAGTGCCCATTGTTAATCTCTAGTGCTATATGCTCTGAAATGACTTCATCACTGAGCTCGTCTCACCACTTCTTGTGGTGGCATTCCAAAGTGGGTGCCTTCTGGCCAGTTTGTAATTGCTTCATCCTGGCTCAAACCAGGACAATCACTTACCAAACGGGTTGTTCATTTCGCCTCTGTAAATACACAGGATCAGCTCAATTGTCCTGAGCAGAGTTCCCTTTGTCAGCTGGTGGTGAGTGCCTCTGGAACAACATGACAGGGACAAACAGGTAGCAATGCTCATATAAAGAATCTTACCATCCTCCTGTGAACTGTCCATTGAGGGAGAGATACAGGCTTTGAAGCAAATGGCCAGCAGAGAATTTTCTCATTAATTTCTCAGAAATTAATTTAATTATTTATTTGAATCCTTGTAAACTTTTTCTTATGACAAGAAGTTTCATAAATGAGTTATGTGATGTGTGGAGAATTTTCTAGTTTTAACCCATTGGTTTAATATGATGCCTCGTAGTTCTTTATTTAGAAAAAGTGTTTCCTCTTCTCTTTCTCAGTGCCTTTTATGATATTGCAAATCATCATAACCCTCCTCAGTCATCTCTTCAAAATTGGAGCTATGCTTCACTTGGTTATTTGTACAGCTGTCCACAAACATTTGGTTATTCTTACTTTGATTCTCCAGATCGGTTTTATTCTTTTTTATCTTACTTAATACAGGTAGACAAGGTTGAAGTGGGTTCAGAGGTATTCATACAATGGGTGAACCTTCAGTATATTGGAACAGGCTGCCCAAGGGAGGTTGTGGAGTCTCCATCTCTGGAGATATTCAAGACCTGCCTGGATGCAGTCCTGAGTAATGGTGTCTAGGCAGTCCTGCTTTAGTGGGGGAGTTGGGCTAAAATGGTCTTTAGGGGTCCTTTCTAACTCTGACATTTCCATGATTCCATGATATTAAGTGGCGTAGCAATGTTCTACAATAGTTCATGTCTGCTTTTGACACTACTGAACACAGAGTTGGTATTCTCATGGAAAAGTCTTAGAACATTGGGATCGCATTCCCAGCTTTTATTTGTCAACTCAAACCCATAATTTTTTCTATCCATGTGAATTGGAGCAATGTTTTCCATTGTTACTACCTTCATATACATTGAATGCCACCAGTGTTTTATTACACAATGAGTTAGGGCAGCAACGTTGTTCTGCAGTTCTTCAGTAACTGTTCCTTTGTATTATATATATTTATATATATATTTGTATTATATATATTTATATGATATTTTGTCATTTTCCAGATGACTAGTGAATTCTTAAACCTTGCAGACTCAAGCCAGCACAAATCTCTTTTGGAATTATTGCATTTTCACTGTAAAAACAGTGTCCTTACCTTTCTTTTCCCATATTTATTCAGTTACTCATTCATCAGAGTACCTTCCTTACCACGTGGCAGCTTGAATGCTTGTGGTGAGAGATTTTTGTTGAATGCCATTTGGAAGGGCTAGTATATAAGCCAGGCCTTTCCTGATTCACTTACTTGCCATTGCCACTGACTTTTTAGCATAAAGTGAACACTGGTGGTCTTTTACTTTTTCTGATGCCATTTCTGATACGTGGCAGGTACTTATTTACTCTGTCCTTACAGTATGGTGTTTGGGAATTTTTGGTTTTTCTTTTATCTTTTTTGCAAAAAAATATGCTCTTCTACCTTTAGACTGAATTTTGTTCAGTTCCTTTGGTTTTAAGTCAAGCCTAAGAACACACAATTAATTAAACCCTCTTCTAGTGGATTTGTGGACTAATTACCCCTGGGAAAATGTCTTATGTAGTTCCTGTTAGTTCTGGTGATATTTTCTGTTGTAAAGCCCTGCACACTGTTTTGAACCAAGAAAAGGATTGTGTGTTTTTTGGATTCCTGACTTAACTTCTTCATAAAGTAGGACTTGACTGTATGGTGTTTAAAACAGCCTCAAATGCTGCACGTTGGTTTACTCAGTAGGCCTAAGATAATGGAAGTCTTGCAATACTACAGCTGTTCCTTGCCCTTATACCTTTGATCTCCTTCATCACCATTGGTCAACCAGCTTCCTATAGTCAGGTAGTATTTGGGAATGGGCTTGGAGAAGTAAGTTACTTCTGTGTGGAACATTTTTGTAAAGAGAATATGAATAAAACTTTTGTTTTACTCTGTCTTACCCTGTATCATCAGGAATATCCATTGTAACCTGGACATCCCATAGGCTTCTGTAATACAGACTTGCTGGGGTGCAAGGATAGAATGAATGTCTTCCTTCCCCCCCTCCTAGTTTTTCTTGGGTTGCAAATAACTGGACTGATAGCCCAGCTGAATCTTGCAAATTGCTATCATACAAAGCCATAAAAGGGCCAATATTTTAATTAGGAAGGCTGTAGGTTAAAGTTGAAGCTTCGTGTCATTATCCCCGATAATGTACATATTACTTTTCTCACCTGACACTTCATGATGAAAACTGAAATCTAAGTCATACACCATGACTCACACTTGGGGATCAATTATAGAATATAAGATTAGAATATATATTCTGTATCAGGTTGGGCGTTTTGTACCATGAAGACTTTCAGACTGAAAGCCTTGTAAGTATTCTACTTGCCTTTTAACCAAAACTGAACTTGTGGAAACCCAGAGTCAAACTCTAATATTAGGAGCAGAAAGTTGAATAGGCCTGCTGTCAACCTACACATAACATAATCCAGCTAGTTTTCATGGAGAATGGAGTATACACAAGAGGTGCAAATAATAAACTCTAGTGTTCGACCCCTTCAGGTCTGGTTTAAAACATCAGACTTTCTGTTGCAATGCTTGAAAGGGAGAGTTCCATAGCCATTGTAATCAAAGAGAATGTAATCAAACTAAAGTGCACAGGTGGATGTATCTCTTCCTTTCCAGCCACCTCTAAAAATGAGCTGTATGCTTTGGATTTTGGAATGCCTCTGTGCTTGTATGATTTTGTGACAGTTGCTGTTCCCAGTTTCAAAAATGAAAACAGAAATTGCTGCTATATGCATAATTAGATTTTGTTTTCCTTAGATAAATGCAGAATGTATTTTCAAGATATTTTTAGTAATGTCTAATACTTACTTTTGTTTTTACTTCATAATTTTTTTATGCATTATTACCTATTTCTGATGCAGACTTACAGTTCAACTTTTTTTCCCCTGTTTTTAGATCCATAGAAGTAAAAACAAATGGAAATTTCATCTCAAAGATGGCATCATGAATCTTAATGGAAGAGATTATGTATTTTCCAAAGCCATTGGAGATGCAGAATGGTGAAGTTTTAAAAGACAAAACAAAAAACTCCCTGTAAAAGGAAAAATATCAAAAGCAGGAAAGGTTGAGACTTGGACATATACTCCAACCAAAATGTGTTTCTGCACATCAGAAATAAGAAACAGAAGTATTGGAACAAAGAAAAATGTGGCAACAAAGACACTACTTCAGATGAGCAAGCCATGGACTGTAGCAGCTATAGCATTGTCTGGGAGCTGGTTTTGTGTGTTAGGAATACCTTAATTATCAATTCTACTTACAGGTACCTACAGCTGGTATTTAGCATGTAAGGCTTTGTTTCCCCCCCCCTCCTTCTTCCCTTGATTTAAGATTTTAAAATACTTCTTCCACTGATTGAAGGAACTCTTCCCTTTGATAGATTATTAATCTGAAAATGCTTATTGTGTGTACAAATCTTTGCTTTGAACACTTCCTTTTGGTAGTGAGGATGATCGGAATGTTACTTAAACTGAGTGCAAGCTTTGTACAGAAGGGTAAGAATTAAGGTGTTAAATTTTAAATAACTTGTATAAGGAAAATATTTTTAATTCTGATATGCTCATTAATTATTATATCTATTTGTTGTTTTCAGTTCCCCATAACAGGTTATTGTTCCTAGCGGTTATGAAATGGTAAAATGATCATTTATATTTCAAAATTACTTTAATCTCATGTAAGTGGTACCTTTTATTTAGGGCTGTATTTTTTAAATACTAAGCACCTGTAGCTTCCCCCCTACCCCTAAAGTCAGATTGCTTAACTTTTTAATTATATTCTTGCTTTTTGGTGGCAATTCAGTATCACTGAACTGAAACAAATACTTTCATTTCCATTGATTTTTTTTAATTTTTTTTTTTAAACTTTTTGGAGACCTTTTGAAACAAATGTGTAGGTAATGGCATAATTGATGCATTCCTTCACCTGCTTACTACATGTGTAGTCCAGACATCCAGAAATAATTCAGCAAACCACAAGAATGGCTACATTTTTAATATAGAAAAATCACATAAAAATTCTAACATCCTGGCTTCAAGTCTGTTAATCAGAGATCTTCTTTACTAAAAAGTATAGCCATAAGTTGCCTGCAGCAGTTAATCTCTCTAAAGTTTCCATGTGACATGTAATTTCATGAAGAGTGCAGCACAGCTTTGAAGACACAGATTTTGTTAGAGCATCTTTAGATTTTCTTGGTAACAGAAGATCAAGCAGTCAGATGCACTAAACCTTGTGTAGTCACATTTTCACTTGCCTTTTCCAGAGATGTGATTTTGTAGTGGTTTGTTTTTTTTTTCCTTTGTGAAAAGTAACAAGGTTGCTCCCCCTTTCTTCCTTTCCACTCCTGAGAAGTGAATACATTTTCTTCATGCATAGGTTATTATTGCAAACCTTGCTTTCAGAAATGCAGTTACTTTTAAATGAGGAGAGGGAATGGGCATTATACTTCAGAAAGTGTTGAGGAAGGAATGTTCTTGTGGCTCACCATTTCAAAAACTTTGTTTCATTAGGTGCTTGGAGAGGTGATGCAAAAAGAAAGGACACAGCAAAGATAATTTTAACTAAATTGGGGAAGACTTGCGGAAGCAGACATTTGAACCATGATTTCTGACCTTTTTTGCTTGAGAGTGAAACTTTTAAAACATTATTTACAAAGTCACAAGTGTATTTTAGCAGCTCATAACAACTGCTATGATTTTCTTTCTCTCCAATTCACTTGTCTCCAAATGTATGCATAGTCTCAGTAGCAGGTAGGAATCCTGCTACACATGGTAAGGAGAGGGCTTTTTCTGCTGTGATTTTGTACACCTGTGCTCTCAGTGATACAGACTAAAACTGCCTGTAGGCCATGTCTAGACCCCTGTGGTTGTTAGTAAGCCATCTACATACATAAGTTTTGTGAAAAGCTTATTGGTGTTTCTTCTAATTCATTCTTAAGTAATGGAATCATCATCTAGAGCACATTTTTGGCTTGGGGCTTCAAGGTATCTCAAACTGATTGGTGTTTGCTTTCTTCTGAACAGAGCAGACATTTTTATTTTTTTATCACTGTTGACATTTCTTTGTACAACTGCAATGAAATCAATAATTTACCAACTTATTCTTTCCCTCACTTTCTCCTTACCTGTTACCTGTAAGTCTTAAGTTGTGGACTTCAGAAAAATTCCCATAACGCTGCACAACCAAACCAATAAAAAGAAGAAAAATCCCTTTAGCTATAGATTCCTCTTTATACTACTGGAACCCAGATTACTTATACAACACTTTGTTTTCATACATCTTCGTGTTTTTTTCACCCACATTATATATACTAGAAGTGGCATAAACTTTTAATTTATTTTTAAGGGATAGCAGAACTTTAAAGGTAACTTAAGGTTTGTCTGTTCTGAAGGATGTTAGAAGCTTTCTGAACTTGCACAGTGTCTTGCAAGCTAATTGTATGGTATGCTTTTCACATAAGAAGTTTTGTTTTCACATAGGAATAGCTGTGAAGTTTTCAGAAAGCCAGTCAAACATGAACATACCACACTGTGCTCTTATTGCTACATCAAGTGTTCCTTTTTTTAAATCAAAAAAGCATGTTTTAATTTCATTTTATTGTAGCAGCTTGCTGTAAGAATGTAGTTTGCTTAATTTTATTATTGTACTTGAATTTTTAATCATAGTTTTAACATTGTAACTTAACAGACCATTTCATTCGGTTCCAAAGAAACCATTCCTTTCAGAGGGCAAGGGATTCCCATTCAGAGTTAATAAATGATTCCTCCCTGTCTCCACCCTTCCACCCTCCCCCCCCTCCCCCCCCCCCCCCCCCCCCCGGAAGTAGGTTTTTGGTTGTTTGGGGTTTTTTTTTCCCCATTTAAATAGTTCAGTATTATGGAAACAATTATTTCAAGAGGGCTTGTGTTAAAATTTGCACAGATAGTGGAGCACCTTTTTATGATGGAAAAAATGGGGAAAGATAACTTCATTGTAACCATGATGGCTGATGGAAACTTGTAGAGCAACTGGGTAAAATTGTGAGTCTTGTGCCTTTTCAGTTTGCAGAATACCTGTTTTGCCAGTATGACAACACTTTTTTGATTCCTGAGAGTAAATTTCCTACAGTGCTTCAATCAGAAAAGGAACTTTTTTGCTCTAATTCCATTGGATTTTAGTGCGTGCAATCATTTTAAAACATCTAAGTTGAAATAAAATCAAAATATGTTTTCTGTTAAGGAGATAATAGAGAATTTAGTCACTTAAGGAACTTTATATTGGACTATTTAAATAAAATATGTTTTTATTTCCCCTCAGTTGCTGGTGAGTAACAAGACTTCTTTGAGGCTTCATACTCCTTGTTCCTAAACTGTACTCAAAAGTTGCATTTGAACATCGTGCAATTTTCTAAACATAATTTAAAGTGATAATTATAGTCAGAGTTTATTTCCAAGAATACGAGATGTGATTCTGAAGCACAGTTTCTAGAAAAGAGCAAAGAACATGTTGTGTCATATAACAGATTTTTTTTTTTTTTATAAATGGTTTTTGTATTTCTGCTGCAGAATTAGGAGTGTTAAAGTAAACTTAATTGAGCCTGTGAAAATAATTCCACTCCTTGACAGCAGTAAGTATGTCACCATGTAACACTACTAGAGTAAAATTTCTTCATTCCAGTGAAGGACTAAGAGACCTTATTAAATAAAGTTCATTTTGATTCAGTCTCTTCCATTTGTAAAAACTCCTTTAAAAATAATAGACTCCTCCATCCCCCCAGTCTCAAGCAAAGCAAAAGCTTCCTTAATAGAATGCAATAAGATGTCCAGGAACTGAACTGTGGTTTTAGGGTAATGCGCACTGGGTTGATACTGGGCTGCCTTACACAGCACTGTGGGGTCACTCTGTACCACCCCACCCACACACCCCCAGCGGAAATTTGAGTTCTTTCCAGACTTAGAGATTAGTGACTGTACAAGATGAAGAAACCTGCACATTATGTATTGATGTCTGGCATTTAAAGTCTCGTTTTCCCATGGCTGTGATTGGTTGGGAAATGTGTAAAAACCAGTCCATTGGTTTCCCTGTTGTTGACTTTTTTCAGGCAGTTCATGCCGTGTGTCTTTTAATTATTATTTGGTGGATTAGACAACTGTGGAACAAAAGGAGCTTTTTTAACAGGAAGAACTACCTTGCGTTAGCTGTATGTACAGTCATCCAATGAGACATGTTCCAGGGTGCATAGGGTACCAATAGATTACGGAGTGGGGGAATATCCTTTTTTGCTGTTCTGAGCTACTATTGTCAACTGCTGTTGTACATACACTGTTATGTGTAAGGGGGTAAATATATTTATTATGTTTGTAAAATTCATTCTGTACAATTGCAGATCAAGGTTGCTCCTCTGTGATATACAGGATATTATGTTTCAAAGGCCATGCTTGGAATACAATTAGAGAACTTAGTATTTTGATGTACTAAGACCTATTTTAAGTTTAATATTTTGCCTTTGCAAAAACTTTAATTAAAGATGTTATTTAAAAACGTTTGCCACTTCATTTGCTGTCTTGCACGTGCAGTTGTTTAATATGTGAGGCTTCATGACTATGATGTAGTAACTGAATAATCTGAATTTATTTTTGTCACATGCAGGTAACTTCACTGTCACCTACTTTTTTGAGTTTAGCTTTCCATTTAACATCGTCACCATGTTATATATAAAAACACATTTTAATCTTGAGGCCAGACTTCCATATTTATTTAAGACTTTTCTTCCTATGGTTATTTGAGACTTAGGTCTTGAGACAAAATTGGTTTAATAATTTCATGTGCCATCTGAATTTAGTACTGTGAATGGAAATGCAAGACAGTATAGAGAAGTAAAATAGAGGTTTTGGATGAGAGCTGGCTCATCATAAAGGTTTCACCTTTACCAGTGAAACTGATTTGACACAACTGCATTCTAGTGTAAGCAGGTGACATCTTTTCAGTTCCTGGCTAAAAGCAGTATCTTGAGACATGACTTGTGCTATATGTTTAAACCTGAATTTGAACTTTAAATTCTAAATATAGTTAGAATGTAAGCTATAGGCTATGGTGCCTGTGTGGGGGGTTGTATTGTGTAATGTGATTTTGAAGTAATCTTTTTAAGTATAGTGGTATAAAGGGTACAGCAAAGCAAGGAGTGGTGGTTTGCTGTTTTTGTGGCATTTTCAAACAGCTTTGAAAAATGGCCTGTTGTTCTGGCCTAAGTATTTTCAAAAGGACCCTAAAAAAGAGGAGGGAAAGCACGATGCTGACAAATCAGTAGCAGACTCAAACAAAAAAAGTTGGATTTCATCCCTGTAAGGAAAGGTGAGAACATAATAGTGGATGTTATTTGTGATCTGCTAACTGTGCTTGAACAAAGTATTTCAAGGGTATTTTTTTGGCAAAATCAAGCATATTTTAAAATACCTGATTTTTTCCTATTAGTATGTTTTTTTATAGCTTTATTATTTTAACTGTAGAGGCATGAGAGGATAAG